ACCAAAAGAAACACCTATGTGAGGTGCTGGATGTGTTAACTAACCTTATTGTGGTAATCATTTTGCAATATATACACATATCAAATCATCATATTTGTATGTCTTAAACTTACACAATGTTATATGAAAATTATATTTTGGTAAAGATAGAAAAAAATTTAAAACACAAGCAGAATTTATTCTCTCTCTCTCTCTCTCTCTCTCACACACACACACACACACACACACACACACACACAGTTAAAAAGCAGTTGAAAAACCTTAGAAGCCCTGCTTCTAAGGCCTTTCAACTGCTTTAATCAGGCCCTAGAACACCCCAGATAATCTCCCATAGTTAAAGCCAACTGAATAAGGATTTCAATTACATCTGCAAATTCCCTTCACAGCAATACCCAGATTAGTGTTTGAATAACTGGGGATGTAGCTTAGCCAAGTAGACACATCAAAAATAAAAAGAGAAACCATCACATTATGAAAACTCATATATATAAACGAGGTTAAAAAAGATTATTTAAATGTAGAAACTATAGCCATTCATTCAATACTACTGCCATCATAAAAAAAAGTCTAACAATAAAAGCCAGGCAAACCTTGTAAAAGAATAAAGATGTTTCAATAGGCACAAAACAGACATTTAAGATGAACGTCGTTCTTGAGACAAAAGTAAGAAGCTATCAAAGAAGAGTCAAACATAGCCATCTATAATATACTGTTTCAGAAGGAAAGCTTTAGCTCATAAGTCAGGTTCACCACGATAAACAACCAGAACCTGGAAAATATTGGACATCATAAATGACACAGAGACTGAGAAACAAGAAGTTGTCATATTTTATCATGGTTCAAAACAAAATGACTCTCAGTCCTATGCCTTGAAGGGGACAGAGGTTAGAAAAAACGCTAGCAGTTGTTTTATGACCTTTCCAGCTTTGAAAAGAAAGGCCCCTTAGGCCAAGCAAAGCCCATTTTTCCCCATGATTTGAAGACCAACAACATTTTATCCTGGTGTGAGAGGTTGATCTCGCTGTTTGACGGCACACATCTTTTCACAGATGGAGTTGAAGGCAGTGCTTTCCCAGAAGCACGACTCTTTTCCTCCTTTACCCTGAGCCTGCAGTGCCTGGGTACACTTCACTCCAAGTGACTGTTCCCTACAAGCTATAGTTCATCTTTTCTTTTCTTTTTTGAAACACTATATTGGAGAAGAAAGCTGCAGAGCAGCTTTTGTGAGACTCTATTATCAGAACAAAAGGAGGAAGAGCATGCATCAGTAGTTCATTCTTCTTAATAATTTTTATGGACTGAATGTTCTCACTGAGAAGTTAGAGAAGTCACTTAGAAATTCATTATGCAGGGAGAAAACTCAAGATGGCTCCTGGCACTAAGCAATTTTTTTTTTCTATTAGATCGCTAAAGTAGTTACCCCGCACCTGGGTGTGAACAAAGCTTAATAAAACCTTGTAAGTGATAACACTATGCTCTCAGATTATTATCTTCAGGATGTCTCTGTACACAGTGCATATAGTCATCTTCAGTATCACTGCCTACACTGAAACAAGCAGAGGCCAGGAAGACCCTGCTGAGATGGAGATATTATTGGGTCGCTGATCGGTTCACTTTACTAAGAGGTCCACTCCTACCCACTGGCCTCGCCTGTGAGACCAGACTCAGCTTCACGGTCTGCGTGTTAGTAGGGTGGGAAAACTCCCATAAAGTTGAAGCTTGAACTTCAATTTACCCAAACAAGCCCTCTCGTGGGGGAGGGTGAGTAAGCCTAAAGAAATAACGTTACTGAGAAGTTAAGACTTCTACAGTAGAATCCCCTCCTACCAGCACTAAAAATGAGGAGTAGGACACAACATGGCATAAGTATTTCCTATTGGCCAGATAAAGAGGTGAGCATGTGAGATTCATAGGAAAGTTGGTGAAGACTCATAGTCCTGGATTTGTACAGAGAAAGGACCACAAGGAGCTTGAGAGGTCAAGGGTGAGTCAAGATCACTAGATGGGTAACCAGGACAGAGTGCTAGTGGCACAGCAGGCCAGTACAAACAACAGCAGCAGCACATGTTTTGTACAGCATCCTGGAGAGATAACAGGAACAGTGGCTACAGCACACAGAAGCAGAGGCACAAATCTTATGTAAGATAACCTTCCTCTTGGGGTCCCCCAGAAAGACTAGAAAGGGGAAGGTGTAGGTACCTGTTGAGGCCCTTGAGCTCTCAGGTTTCTTGCTGCCTCTGGAGGTATTGGTTAAGTCCCCCTATGATCTTAGCTCCGTAGTTCTTGCCTTATGCATTTTCAGACTTTATTTGAGCATTTGTTTTTCCAGACTGGGTCTGAAAACCAGTGTCAGACTAAGTGTGATTTAAAAACCAGACTGGGTCTGGGATCAGACCCAGACCACCTTCAGGGACTTGAACCTTTGGTTCACATCCCCCAATTAAAAAGGGTTACAGCAGGCTCTTGGAACGAGCTGGAGATCTGAAGTTAAAACTGACCTAGGGAGGTTTCTCTATAGAAGCAGTTGGCATCTTAAGGTGGACAGTTCTCCCAAGATCGTGGATCAAGATCTTAATCTCCAATATGAAAGCTTTATTCCTTTTGCTTTTTCACTACTTGCCTTTTCTCTCTGTTAATGTACAGGAAGATAAGGTTCCTTATCTCCAGTATCTTTCACTGAATGTACTGCTAAGGTCATAGCTGCACAACAGAATTCCTTAAAACGTTCTTGCTAAGGTGGTTTAGATAATAAAATTGCAGAACGAGAAGGAGTCTGTGCCATAGTAAATATCTCTTACTGTACCTACATAGACACCTCTGGTATTGCAACAAATACAAGAAATTATCAAACAAGCCACTTGGCTAAAACAGGTTGATGCTCCTTCGGGTACCTTCTTTGATTTATTTGATGCCAGTTGGTTTGATTCTTGGGGGCCCTGGCTAAGGAGTACACTCAGTCTCTTGGTATTATCCTCCTAATAGCTATCATTATAGTTTCCCTGGTGGGCTATATTCTCTCAAAGGTCTTAAATGCATGTTTGCAGCCATCAGCAGTACATCAAATGGTCTCGCTGCACTTGGAAAAACAGAAACAAAACAAACAATGAGATGAACAGCAAGAACAATTCTTTCACGATCTGGCATTATAACCTAAAACTTTTACAAGGAGACAAGAAGGAGCTTAACTCTGATGGTTACTGAGAGTGGGTTAATACCAATTTTTGGTCAATCTCTCATGTATGAGAGGGTGAACAAAAGGGTGGAATTGTTAATTAATAAACAAGGAGGGCATTAGACTGACGTGGCTTTAATGCTGTGGTGACCTATATAAGCAAACCAAAATCTCAGCCTATAAATGCCTCAAGACTACAAAATCAAAATACTGAGGACAACTAATCACAGTCAACTAGGCTTTAAGTTATAGCCAATAAATAATTTCCTTACTTTGCTTCTGCCTTTTCTCTATAAAAGCTTCTCCCCAAGCTTTTACTGGTGGACCATTCCTAAACACTTCTGGTTTGGTATTGCCCAATTCAAATCAATTTTTGCTCAAATAAGCTCAAAATGTTTACTATGCCTCAATTACTCTTTTAACAGCATGAACACTCCAGTCCTTCACAGTCCCCACAACTCTCAGTTGTCTTTTAACAGTTGTGTTTCACATTTTTGTGACTCAGTGACATTTGAGCTTGAAAGCCTCTGCTATAAGTGAGTATGAGGTGGGTCCAGTGGTAGATGATTCAAGGAAAGGCCAATTAAACTGTAGGTCACTCTTCCTGATACCCCAATTAACACATTTAATAAAAAGCAAGCTATGCTGTATTTCATGTCCTTCCAGGCCTTTCATCCAGCATTCCAAAGCTCATGATCAGAAAAATATGCAGTCCCGATAGCTCTCTTCTTATAAAATACGTATATTCATAGAATCTTTTCTGTTCGTTTCACAGAATCACAGCATACATACATCTCTTTTTTGGCTTATTTGTTTAGCTTGAAATATCTTTTCTCAGTATAGAACAATGGATGAAGTATTTACAAATACTGACACAAAATTATCTAACATTTTTCTTTCAGCTTAGCAATGTACAATAAAACAACAAACAGAAAGCATTAAGAGCTGAATTATTCTGAAATTGGTCACACAGAACTCCAAAATACTTGTCAGAAGATTTTAAGCAATAGATATTAGGAAGGTAATGCATATATTTACATGAAGCTAAGAACATTTTTGTACCCTCCTACAGTTGAAATATACTGAGCCACAACAAGCCTCCAGACACAGCTCACTTCTATAATTTAAGTCCCATTTGCAATAACTTCATAGGACAGCATAGACATTAAAACATATAATTTGTGTCGGCAGCAAAGAGATTCCATTATTCACTTATTCATCTTGAGATTCTCAGTTACAAACCAAAGAAATTGTTCTAGCTCATTAAAGCAGAAAAAAATACTTCATTAAAAGGATGTAAGTTTCAGAATCTCTGGGAAAGACCCAGAAGCAGGCTTGATGTTCACTCTTCCAAGAACAATCTCCAAAATAAGACACAAGACTGTTCCAGCACCAGGGCTACCACCAGGTACAACATCACAGTTTGCACTGGTGGTTCCAGGTACTAGAGACAACTCCTAGAGTCTTTTGGACTGTGCCTCTGGAAGGCTGGATGTCTTGGCCTGCGTCAATGTTTGTGCTTGGCTGCAAAGCATGATGGCTAGAAAAGTAAGGTTATGGGCTCTGCCACTGTGAGCTGTGGGCTAATAAGGCGAAGAACTCCCCACACACAAAAAAAGGTATACAAAGGTGCTGAGGAATCAAATGACCACTGCCCACCCACCCACCCCTGCCAAAGCAACAGGGCATTAGATACTGGGTGAGAAAGTGTTAAGGAAAAATAAAATAACATGTTAAGAAACAAATTCTTGTGGAATTTTTAGTCTGTTGGGGAAGACAGGACAAAAATTAAGCAAATAATCACATTAATAAATGTATAACTACCAACCGCATAAGTGATCCAAAGGAGAAAGTTCTGGTTCTCTGAGAGCTCGTATCAACTGGAGATCCAGAGGACTTCTTAAGGAAATGATTTCTGACCTGGGATCTGAAGAAGGAATAAGAATTAAACTGATGAAGGGAATTGAAGAACATTCCAGAACATTCCATTCAGGGGAAGCACATATGCAGACAGTTGTGATGAGAGGGAATACAGCAAGTTTGAGGAGGAGGAAGGACCATGTATTTACTTGAGATTAAGGTTAGGGTGGGAAAAGAGTTGTGTAAATAAGGTTTGAGAGGTAGATGGGGCTAGATGAGGCAATATTTATGTCTTCATTCTGAAAGCAAATGTGGAAGGGGAGTGCAAGAGTACTCTAATCAGATCTCTCTGATAATTTTGTGTCAACCGAGCACTGGGAGGCTGTAGACAACATGTGGTTCAGGAGGGAGGTGATTGTAGTCTCACCTCTTACAAGACACTTGGAGAAAACCCACCAGCCACTTTACAGTAGACTCTTGTTGCTCTTTCTTCGGCGTGTGTAAGTTCTGTTTTAATCAGTTTTGCTATATCTGTTATTTTGCAAAATTGAATTACATACATGCTTAAAACATTTTCTGATTTTGAAAAGTTTAATGTCATAAATATTCCTTTCTTGGAAACTGCATCTCTGATGACACTCTAGAGCATTTGCAATTCATAGCCTAATGTATCTGGATAAGTTGAAATTCCCTGAAATTCAGAATTTATAATAAAAGGCATTATGGTTTCCAAATAGTAGTGGATGACCAGGGAATTACAGTATTTAGGGCTGCTTTTCAGACTTCCACCTGAAAACTGCCTTTCCCTGGTCGTCTGACCTACTGTCTCTTCGCCAATTAATTCTTAGTTAATTTCTGCATAAATAGCAATAGAAAGCTCTATAAGAACTTCATTAATTTTTTCTTCAATTACTTGAAATTTGGTTAGAACTGAAGATTTCTTTGCATTAAAGCAGCCTGAAGTATTAGCTTAAAAAAGTGTGGTTTGAAGCCAGGAGACTTGATGTTAAGTTCTGTTTGCATCACTTCCCAGATATATGACATTTTGAAAGTTATTGGAGTCTTTAGCCTTTGTTTTCTCAACTGCAAAAGAGAGGGCCTCCAGCTGAGTTGTAATGAAGATAAAATAAGAGGATATTTCATCAAAGCGACTCGCATGCTAGACAAGTGTAGAAGCATAAACATGAAAATGATTTACTAAATAAACAGGGTTCGGAAATGCAGAAACATTGGGGTGCTTCATAGCAAAGAAAATATTCAAAAATTTTGCAGCATTTTAAGAATATGCACAAAAGTAGAGACCGGAACTGTTTTGATTGTGCCTGTGTTCCTTCTTTCGGGATTTTCCTTGTTGGTCTCTGAGTTTAGAGCACGTGAAAACCCTGGATCAGTCTCCAGCAGCCTCCCAGCTGGGCCACACCCCAGAAAGCAATCGTGGCAGTAAATTTAAACAGAGTCCAGGAGTAAGCAAGGCATATCTCTTCAACAGCCATGTATGCTTAGGTTCTTTTGGTGCACTATGTTTCATTTCATTTTACTAGCTGTTTATCAGATATACAGGGCGGAATTAATAATACGCCTCAGCTCAAGGCACTTTATAATCATCGATCCATATGAGTCTCTCTAGTTTTAACAGTTATTTATTCTACTTATCCACATCTCCAAGGTAACCATTCTGCTGTATTTCTTTTTTTTTTTTAATTAATTTATTTATTTATGTATGGCCGCGTTGGGTCTTCATTGCTGCGCGCAGGCTTTCTCTAGCTGCGGTAAGCAGGGGCTACTCTTCGTTGCGGTACACAGGCTTCTCATTGCAGTGGCTTTTCTTGTTGCGGAGCATGGGCTCTAGGCGTGCGGGCTTCAGTAGTTGTGGCACACGGGCTCAGTAGTTGTGGCGCACGGGCTTAGTTGCTCCACAACATGTGGGATCTTCCCAGACCAGGGTTCAAACCCGCGTCCCCTGCATTGCCAGGCGGATTCTTAACCACTGCGCCACCAGGGAAGCCCTATTTATTTCTTTTTATTTTAAAGTGCTCTAAAATGTGTTGTGTGATTTTGTTAGCATTTATTTTAAACTATGTAAATCCTTATAGATCTCATTCATTTTCTTACTCTTTTGGACTAAGTACTATCTTTTTAAGATCCAATCTTATTTCTATGTGTACATCAGATATGTTCCTCCTAAAGCTCCATAACCACCCATGGTATGTATTCTCCAAGTCTTGCCTATTTACTCTACCCAAACTGCCACCAACTCCCACCACTGTAAACATTACTGTAATAGCTATCTTTATATATTTCACACTATAAAAACATTTGAAATTTTCTGTGGGATAAATTCTCAGTAGCAGAATTGCTGTGTCATAGTACGTATGTACACTTAATTTATCTACATCATGCCAGACTGTTCTTCAGAATGGCTGTATCAATCTACTCCCCATGAAGCTTTCTGCATAGCTGCTTCCCTGACAGCACTCAGCATTATCCAGTTTTCTAATTTTTGCCAATTTAATACTGTTAATTTAACCTGAATTTCTCTGATTACTATCTTCAGCATGCCTTTGAGTACTTGGTTTTTTTTTCTTTTTTTTTTTTTTTTTTTTGCGGTACGCGGGCCTCTCACTGTTGTGGCCTCTCCCGTTGCAGAGCAAAGGCTCTGGACGCGCAGGCTCAGCGGCCATGGCTCACGGGCCCAGCCGCTCCGCGGCATGTGGGATCTTCCCAGACCGGGGCACGAACCCGTGTCCCCTGCATCGGCAGGCGGACTCTCAACCACTGCGCCACCAGGGAAGCCCGAGTACTTGGTTTTGAGAGTTTTCTTTTCTGTAAATTGCTCCCTCATAGCCTTTACCTGTTTTCCTATTGCGGTAACTGACTTGTCAATTTACAGAAATTCCCTGTTAATTATTAATTCCTTTCCAGTTTTAAACATTGAAAATACCTTCTCCCATTTAGTCATCTATTAATTTGGTCCATAGTGTTCTTCATGAATGAAAAAACCTTAATTTTCCTGAGCATAATGAAGCTTTCACAGATTATTTCTTCTTTTCTAGCCTCATCCTTGGAGATCTTCCCCTGTGGTCCTCTCCCTGCCTGAAGTCTCACCTGAGGGTGCTGGGGACAGAATGACAGCTGCCCAAGTACAGAGGGTAGATCAGTTTTGTTTGATGCTCTTTCTGCACAACTACAACAATGCCTGGACCAGGGTTAGTGCCATATATAAGTGCCAAATGGATGAAGTTAGAAAGTCTCCCAGAGCTATGGAGAGGTCATTTCACCTCCTGGATTCTTTAAGGTGCACAGTTCCCCCACGACTTACTTGGTTTGTGTACAAGAAAAATCCTTCTTGCTCAGGGAAGGAGGGCTGCAGTGGGGTGGAGCAACAGAAGCTGTTTGTCAGTCTCTTTCCATGATTTCAATCTCCATATTGTTCCCAGTGGATCGTTCCCAAAAGTCAGTATCTGGAAGATTTTACATAGATATGCATATGAGTAAGTATCTTGCTGGTACAAACCAATCCAAAATGTACATTCCCACAATATTTCTGATTGTTTTCTTTATTGGTGTATAACTTACATGCAATAAAATTCTCCCATCTATACAGTGTATTTGCAGGGGGAGCCTTAATTTTGATATAATTGTATTTAGCAATCTTTTGCTTTGTTTTTCCTTTTGAAATTTTTTGAAGTGTCTCCCCATTCCTAGATTGTAAAGATTATCTCATACATTCTCTTCTATCAGCTGTATTCTTTTCCCTTCTAACTTACATGTTTAACCTATCTGGCGGTAACTCATTATGTAGTCTTAGGTAGGGATCCAATTTTTCTCCATATAGTGAGACAATTTCCCCAAAAAACTTCAACTAAACATTTTCTACTGATTTGTGGTAATTCCTTTAAAGTTTATTAAATTCCCATGGATATATGAGTCTCATTCTGAGTGCATCATTTTCTTCCACTTATCTGTTTATCTGATCTTATAGCAATAGCACATTGCTTTTACTACTCTGGCCTTGTAGTATGTCTTAATATCTGGCAGGGCAAGCACTTCATCTTTACGACTTCTCTTTAAGCAGCAAACAGCCATGAACTTTTATTTCTCTCTACAAATTTTACAGCAAATTTAATTGTTTCCCTAAAATATCTAACTGGAATTGTTACTGAAATTGCATTGCATTTATATACTAAATTAAAGAAAATCTCTATCTTAATAATATGAATTTATCCCATCCAAGAGCATGAAATGTCACTCCCTTTCTTCATATCATCTTTCATGTCCTTCACCCAAATTTTAAAGTGTGACAGGAAAATTATTTGAAACTTGGAAATAAGACCACAAAAAGGTGAGTGGGATATCCTTTCAATATCACATGAGGGCAAAGGTCACAAATGTATAGTTATGAAATGTATTTAGTTTATCTCATTGTTTACCATTAATAAAAGGTCTCAAACTTCGTGAGGTTACATGTTAACTTCTAGAGTTTTTTCCAGTAGATGCAAATAATTTTGTGTCTAATGAAAGTGATGACTCCAAAGATTTATGGTCTGTGTTTGGGACATTAGTTTTATAACTAATTCAGCAGTCCCGATATTTCTCTGCTAAACCGCCTATAAATACCTGGCATCTTAAGTTCTCTTTGAACTGGCCATACACCTTATTGGTCCCCTTATTAATGAATGGGTTTTAAATCTTTAACATGTTGATTTTATATTTGCATGAAAGTCGTGGTTTTAACTTTTTGAAAAGCACACTTTGGTGAGTTCCTTCATAAAGGTCTTACATATTCTAGGTTACTTTACCTCTTAGATAGCTTATAGTTTTATTGCAATTATGAATGGAATATTATTTTTCTAGAGTTTCCTGATTAATTATTGCTGGTATAGAGAAATATTTTTGATTTTGTAAGTTGATGCTGTATAAAGCAACTTTGCTAAACACATACTGGTTCTAATAGGTTGTCTCTGGATTCTATTAGTTCTTTTAGGTACGCAATTACAATATCAGCAATTAATGAACAGCTAGATACTATACACTAATAAATTTTTAAAGATAGATAAAGTGGATAAATCCCTAGAAAATTATCAAATGCCAAAATTAGCCCTAATTTTACAAATACTTCCCTTGAGGTTGATCCTAGTTTTAGCTTCTGACTCTCAATAAAATTCATATTTACGTTGTGTACATAAATGACCTCATTTAATATACACTAAAATTCTGTAAGTTAAGTGCTATGCCCATTATATATTGAAGAAAATAAATATATAAAGGGTAAGCACATCGTACAAAGTCACAACATTAGTTGTGGTGGCTCCTTCTCAAAAATTCAGCTCTTATGCCTTGAAACCTGGTACAATTTTCTGAGGCAGAAACTGTTGTGTGTCTCTCTGCCCCTATCCTCCAGGTCGTTTTATTACCTAGAAGTTCAGAAAAAAATAAAATTGATCATAGCAAAGAAATGTTCATCAGCTAATAGGGTAAGTATTCACATGAGGTTTGATTTTTGCTACCCTTACATCTACAAAGGAAGACCAATTTGTTATCACAGAAAAGTGAGAAATAGAAAATGATATCTCATCAAGGGTTTTGCTTTCTCTTTGGAGTCCGGAGGACAAGCAGGTTCCTATAACTGATGAAGCTGCTTTTAAGATGTACTTGTGGCAGTGTTCTCAGATTCGGCAAATAAATATACAGGGTGCCCAGTTAAATTTAAATTTCAGGTAAGCAATGGATATTATTTTAGTATAAGTATGTCCCATGCAATATTTAGGATATATCCAGTATGTGTGTATGTGTGCATACTACATATCCAGTGTATATTATATATAGTATACATTATAATCTTTATCACAACCCTGAAAGATGATTATTATTCACCTTTTAATATTGATAAGGAAGCTGAGGTTCAGAGATATTAAGTAAATCATTCAAGGCCACCAGGTGGTAACTGGCAAAGCTGATCAAGACCATCTAAAACCCATGCTCTTATACTGCTTCCCCAGTTCCTCAAGTAACCCTGTGGGACAGCACCATGTTTCAGTTAACCCCAGTCCCATTCCCAGCCCTCTCCTCCCTTGCTCCACTCTATGGCAGGGGTTGGGAAAACTAAACTCTCCCTTTCCAGCTTCCATCACTTCCAGAGCAGGCCATGTGACACAGTTCTGGCCAGAGAAGTAAAAGCAGAAGTTGACTGGGGCTTCTGGAAAATCTTGGCTTTCATGATCAAAGGGACAAACATGAGTCACTGATCTGCCCCTCCTCCTCTTGCCATGATCACAGATTTGATGACGGGCGATGTAGCCCTCATCTTGTGATGACTATTAAAGAAAGGCCAGGGGGTCTATAGAGTTGCCAGCCAACCCTGATACTATCGAACCTCTGAACCAAGGAAGAGCAACACCTACCTCCAGACTTCCTATTAGGTAAAGATAAAACTATTTGTTTAGCTACAGTAAGTCAGGGTGTGAATTTCCTTTCCACACTAATTATCTGGATGTTAGGGATTCTCAATAGATTCAAATTCAGACAACATGAATTGGATGCCTAATACTTCCAGGCTCCTTGATAGATGTCATCATCATAATTTAACCCTTACAATAGCCTTGTGTGGTGGGGATTACTGTACCCATTTCACAAAACTGTGGTTCAAAGAAGCCTCGCAGCCTGTTCAAAGTCTACCCTAAGCTGGTAGCAACATCAGGATTCAAACCTGTGTCATCTGAATCTGACTGTAGGCTTTTCTCTTTTAGATGACTGGAAACACTCGTATGATACTGAAATAACAGTTTGGTTTCATTTTGAAAGTATGCATTCATCAGGAATTTTCCAGTTTTCAGAGATGAATAATCATTTTATAAGGAAATTTCACTTTTACCAAAACTCATATTCCTTAAACTCACTGAATACATTAAACTAGCCTATGGTTTTTCATTTTTATGTAGAGCAAGTTATGTTCTCTACTAGGGAGAAAAGATGTGTGATAAAATAAAGGTTGAAATCCAAGGAACATTCTTTTAAAAACCAAGTACCAAAAACTACTACGTTACAAATGTGAAAAAAAAACATGGAATATGATTGTAATAGTTACATCTCACATTGGCTGAGGATGGAATATGTAATGCTGGAGAATTCTTTTACCATTGCATTTTACGCTGAGTTCATAGCACTACACTGACTGGCAATCTCTCTTCATAATGAGAGTCTTTCGGCAGAGGAAAAGAAAAATAAGTTGTCATCTTAAAAAAAAAAAAGTACAATAGAAAGGGACAAAGATTTGTCAAAGGGCAGCACAATAACCATTATGGGAAGGCATTACAAAGTCAAAGAGAGCTGGGTAACCACTCATTTGCCCACCATCTTAACAGGATAAATTCCTCCAGGCTCTTAAAAGATAATGAGCACACCAATTATTTTCTCAGGGCACAGGAGCAGGTCGAGGAATTACTGCTGTGCTCTGACACAACAGCACAAGCCAGACAAGTCAGAAATGTCATCGTCAAGCAGTCTAAGGATATTTGAGCAGAGAAATGTTAATCACAGGTGAGTCTTGCCAGTGGCTCTCCAATCCCAGATGTCAGGGTTCATTTTCAGTTCAAGCATGATGCTCTCAAATCAAATCTGGTATTAACGACATCCCACAATAAGGAGATTTGCAGCAACCATAAATCTTTAGATCTCTAAGTTAGTTGTCTATTTGTCCTTGTTGTCAGAGAGCACATATTTACTCAGCTTTCAGAGCAAAATAATTCATATAGATGCCAGAGATAGGGGAAGATAGCATTGATTCATGGACATGGGTTGCTGTGCAGTAGGTCTTTTGACGTAATAATAATTGCTATTTGTTTTGTACACTAAAAATAATTTCCAGGTACAAATATTACAATCTGTTCAAATCTGTTAAGTTTTCAGGGTAAGTAACAAGAGTTTTGCTGGCTTAAGCAGTCCTCTGAAGTTCTTTTGTTGTTTCTATTGCTGTTCCATTGGGCTTTTAACTTTAAATATTTTATTTAAAAATTTTTAAACCTACAAAAATGCTGAAAGAAGAGAACAATACCATTCATCTAAATTCATCAAAATATTAATATTTTATCACCCTTGGGTTTTTTTTCTGGGAATTTTCTTTTTTATTTTATTTTATTTTATTGATTTACCATGTTGTGTGAACATTTCTTTCCTTCTTTCCTTCTTGCCTATCTCTGGACTAATCATATTTTTTTATGTAAGAATATATATACTTTCTTGCTCTACCATTTGAAAATAAGTTCCAGACACCATGACAGTTCATCCCTAAATATCACACATCTGCTAAGAATGAGTGTTCTCCTATATAATCAGAGTATCACTTTCATATATCCACATTCAAATTTCCCCAGTTGACCAAAATTGTTTTTTTAATTGTTTTACTTTTTCAATCTAGGATCAAATCAAGGTTCACACATTGCCTTTGATTATGTCTTTTAGTATCTTAAATCTTTTCCTGAAGAGCGTTCTTTTTGTTTCTGTTTCTATTTTCACAACATTGAAAAATTCAGGACAGTTGTCCTATATTATGCCCCACATTCTGTATTTAATTGTTCTTCACCACGAGAATCAGGTTAAATATTTTTGGCATAAGTACTACATAGCACACAGGGGATGCTGTATACCTCCCATTGTGTCAGGTATCTGTTCTAAAGGTTAATTTTCCTTGGCAATGAAAACACATAATCCATGGGATAATACCTCTTGCCACCTCCAACAACATTTTACTCAAAAGTTTTAGTATTCTTTGATGATCTTTGCTTGAATTGCATTTAGGTGCAAAATGGTGATTTTTTTAAAAAATTCTCTTTTTCTACATTTACTATAATCTTCTGTAAAGAAGAGCTTTCCTACTTATTTCTTCTCTCTCCCTCTCTTTCCCCTCTTCTTTCTATCACTATAGATTTATGTTCAATGTGATATAATCTCTTACCATCATTATTCTTTTCAATGCTCAAATTGTCCCGGTTTTTTGGGGTTTTTTTTTTTGTTGTTGTTGTTGTTTGGTTTTTTTGCCATACGTGGGCCTCTCACTGTTGTGGCCTCTCCCGTTGCGGAGCACAGGCTCCGGACGTGCAGGCTCAGCGGCCATGGCTCACGGGCCCAGCCACTCCGCGGCATGTGGGATCTTCCCGGACCGGGGCACAAACCCGCGTCCCCTGCATCAGCAGGCGGACTCTCAACCACTGTGCCACCAGGGAAGCCCTCACTCAGACTTTCTTATCAGATTTCCCGGAAGTGGGGCAGAAGGGGAGGAGGGAAGGATGAGGTTTAAGATGTCAGCAAACATCAAATAAATGGGGTCAGATAAAATTTAAAATATTTTTTAAATTTGTTTAATTTAAAAAATTTTAAAAATAGAAAAAAATTTTTTAATTTTAAAAAATAAATTAATTAAAATGTTTTTAAAATGTTTAAAAATGGGGTCAGACTATTACACTGGGCTACACTTACATTCTTTTACATAAGTCTATGAGATAGAGATCTGTTACATAGGTACCATGTGTGCCCAAATCACCTCCACAGGGTACATGTGAAGTACCTGGAATAAGAACACAAGGCACTTCTAGCTCTTTAAGTGGGAAACAACCTCTATTAATACACAGTAGCAGCAGCAAAATCATTATTCCTTTGCAAGTTACTTGACATTTTCAAATTGTTTCTAAATCAGTTATGGACAGGGCTATCAATTTTCTGTTTAGAAAATCAACTTTAAAAAGGATATGTGCTTTCATGATGTCAGAGGGCTCCTCAGAGGGTCAAAAGCATTTAAACTTCTCTCTCAGTCAAGACATCAAGATAATTCTAAGAGCCTCTATATTTCATATAAATGTCAGATTAGAGCAGCTCATCATTAAGTTGAATTAATAGAAATAACCATTACATTTAAACACTCAAAAAATAAAGCTACAGATCTTTGTCAAAACATATAATGATAAAACAATAATATTAGCAGCTAACATGAATTGAATGTCTTTATGTTCCAAACACATTATAGTCATCCTCATAACAGTTCTTTGGATTTAATATTAATATTATCTCAAGTTTGCAATGAGGAAATTTAAGCCCAAAGAGGTGAAATAATGTGACCAACATCCCACAGCAGGTAAGTGAAGAAGAGAGAATTCAAACACAAAGCAGAAAAATAACATTGAAAATTCAACATTTCGGGACTTCCCTGGTGGTCCAGCGGTTGAGATTCTGTGCTCCCAGTGTAGGGGCCCCAGGTTCAATCCCTGGTCAGGGAACTAGATCCCCCACACGCCGCAACAAAGACCCCACAGGTCACAACTAAGACCAGGCACAGCCAAATAAATAAAAAGATAGATATTTTTTTAAAAAAAGAAAATTCAACATTTCACAACTGTAGAACACAGATTGATTTCCACTAAAGATAGAAAGCGCCAAACTGGCTCAGATTTTAACCTAATCAGCATAAACTTTTATTCTCTTCTCTTCTATTTTTACCTTAGAATATTAGGGTCCAGCATCCAAGACAGCCAGTAGCCAAATGACCAGGGATGGGGCAGATGAACTGTTTGGACTTTTCCAATCCAAAGGATCACGTCAACAATCAGTTTGGAATTCAGTGAAGTATGCCCTGTTGCGGTCTTGAGGTGATTTTTTTTGGCTGAAATCCAGATTTCTCTGTGTTGTAACCACTCTGAAAAAACAGAATAAACCCCCCACCCAAAATCTGGTTGGAACGTCAAGACTGATGACACACAACAAGAAGGTATGAAAGGTTTATTACTTACAGGAAATGAGAGAGGTGTTGAGTTCAAAAGTACCTATAGACTAATGGGTTAAAAAAATTGTTCAACCACTGTTTGACCTTCAGCTTTGGAGATCTCAATATCACATGTGTAGTGTAATAGTCTACATGACATATTTTTCAGAGCACTTTTACACACATCTCATTGAATCACCTCAATAACTGAGTGTGAATGACAGAAAATTTACCTATGCAAACGTGAAGCAAATATCTCATGTAATCAATACGTGTATTCCAGTAGGCAGAGGGTGCTAAACACCTTTATAACCCCTTGGTGCACGGCTTTGCTCACATGGCTGTGGCAACCAGCTGTGCCGCAGATATAACCTTTGACAAAATGACACACCTCTGCTGCACTGCCCGTCACTTGCTTTCTGGCCCAAGCTTCTCTGTCCACTGAGATTCTGGGCTGTGATGGGTCATATGCAAAACTGTAAGTACAAGGAAATTAACACCCCTGGAGCAAACCTTGATTAACATAGGATAGGAACTGGGAAATAAACACTCACCTTTCCCCATCCCTGGTGGACGATTCTGAGGCACATTCTGTATAACTCCAGTGGGGCCCTGCTAGCATTGAGCCCCAGCTGCACCCAGCCACCTTCTTAAAATTGCATCCTTGGATTCGCTTCCTTTCTTCCCTGTTCCACTCTTCCCAATCTGCTGTGCTTATCCTGCTTTATCAGATTTGGCTACAGTAGTTAATTAATAAATCGTTAATATACACTTCAAGAAAAATCACATTCCCTGGGGACTATTCATCAAGCCCTTGTCATAGAATCTGCTTTAGAAGGGAACCCAAACAAAATCAGAGAGTTTAAGTAACTTAAAAAAGAGTCAGTTAATGTTGCAGTTAGAAAACAGGTCTTCTGTCTCCTTATGGGATGTGATTAAAAGCATAGGCACTAAAGTCACATTCAACTGGGTCTGAAACTAACTGGTGTACTTTAAGAATGTGACTTGATTTTTCTGATGCTCAACCACTTAATTGGAATATTAATATAAATGATAATAACAATGGCCAGTCATTTTTGAGTGCTTCCATGTGTACACTCTGCATATATTAACCTTCTAATCCTCACCGTAACCTTATGACATATATATATATATTTTTTTTTTATTCAAGACCCATTTATTCTCTAATTCTGCCCACATGGAGACACCCTCCTTGAAAAGGCATTGAATCCTTCCATTCACTTTAACACCTTGTGCTGAAAACATGCGTTCTGAGGTTTCAACTATGAGATCCACATTCTTAAAGCACTGATTCTTAAACCTCATCTAGATTTCTCCCCTTGGATGGGGGGAGATGACCCAACCACAGCGAAGAACAGCTCAGGACTGTGGGCTCTGCTCGCCCAGAAGACCTTGCAGCTCCCCTGACCAACCGGCTGGATCCAGGACTAGGGCCCTGAGACGAGGGGTGCCTGCTGGGCTGCCGCCAGCGCCACCGCCCCCAGCTCCTGTCCTCTTCACTAGGCTGGCTGTCTGTCACCTCTAGTTTCCCTGGAGTTTGGGGATTCCAGAAGGTCTCTGCTCACACTTCTGTATGACGCCTGCTGCCTCAGCACTGCTGATCCACACTAAGGGGGGAAAGCACACAGAACTGCTTTTCAACACACCAACATTCCACACAAAAGTTATTTTATAAGCCTGCGGGTTCTTTTTCAGCAAAGGAGATTCCCAAGGTCATGACTTCCCCCGGCTCCCCACTGCCCTTGCCGGCAGACTGGATGTGCATGGCCACCGTGCTGAGTTGGGCACACCCCCCTGGCTCCACTCCGGAGCACTCTCCTGGAGAACAGAGGACGGTTCCCTGGGCTCATCTGTCCTGAAGCCAGCCCTAGAGTGACAAGAGCCACACCTGCAGGTCTATTCCACTGACCAGCCGCACAGGACCGAGCTGGGCCCACGGACCTTGGTCTGGATTGTGTTGGCTGGTCATTCTTGCCTAGGTTCACAGGCCAACAGCCAGTGTCCTTCCTTCCCTGCTCATCACTGCACCAGTGGCTCACTCCTACCTGCTGCCGTCACAGGCCTGGCAACCTCGTGTTCGGGGCCAGCCAAGAACTGAGACCCCAGCAGGCCCCTAGTTCCCAGCAGGCAAACTCCCCATTAAACTACCGCTGCCTGGCCGTGTTCTCGAGGCTTCAGAGCCCGGAAAGTGCGGAGGGCATAGCAAGCCGCGGCGCCCCCAGCCCCGGACCCGCCATGCTCCGCGGAGGCGCTGGGTCCTCGCCGCACCACTACCCCCAACACAAGCGACCTCTGCGCCCGCCTGTCTCGCGGACCCGGGTGCGCCTCCGGCCACCGCGACCCAGGACGGAAGCGCGGGGCGTGGCGCTCGGCATGCGGCGGGCGCGCGGCGGGCGCGGGGACGGGCGCGCGACGGACGCGGGGGCGGGCGAGGACCCCGGGTTCCGGCCCCGAGGCCGCGCGGACCCGCCAGGCCCACCTCCGTCCCCGCCGCCCGGAAAGCGAGCTATAGTAATAATAATATTAATAATAGTATTACTAATATAATAATATTATTATATTAATAATAATATACAATTATATATTATATAATATAATAATGTTGGTATTCTATTATTATTAATAATTATTATTATATATTATTGTCACCATTTTGCAGATGAAGAAACTGGGGTACAAAAAGCTTACTATGCCCAAGATCATAGAGCCAATAAGTGGCACCTCAGGTATTCCAACTCCAGACGCTCAAACTCTAGGGCTCACACATTTAATCATTATTAAACACACTTAAACACTATTAGCCTCCTCACAGGGTTGTAATAATAAAATTTAAAATAAAGCATCTAGTACAGTGCCAGTTGCATTAACAGTGCTTATAAACATTAACGCAAAAAGGAAAGTAAATACTTTTTAAAAAGTTTAAATCCTGATTTAAAAATTGACAAATACTTCTTTTCTGTTAATTTATCTTTGTTTCTCTAATTTCCTTTTTTCTTGGACTCTCTTCCATTAAAATGTCACTGCCCTTCCACCACTGTGACTCACTGATGTTTTATCTTTCCCTTGTTCCTGCTCCCCAATCACCTGCTCCAACTTTACCCATTTCTTCCTTTCAAAGCTCATTTTTCTCAATTTCAAGGCTGCTGACAGATCAGCTTGTGAAACATTAGAGAGTTTATTTTCATACCATTCCCTTCAGAATATCACCAGAATAAACGTATTTGTGGTACTTGAGACAAACACCCCAAAATACATGGACAGTTGCAATCAGTATTTGTCAGACCCTTCAGCATGTAAACAGAGGCTTCTCAGTGATCAAAAGGGATCAAGAAAAGGATTTCCCTGCATTGTGGGTGCTGCTTACAGTCTGAGGTACAAGCAAAAAATAAATAAATAAATAAAATAAACACTTTATTTGATTCACTACCAAGATCACCTTTCTTTTAATTAATAGCATAAGTACTAACTCACCTTAACTTTCCTCACAAATGATACCAATGAGGATAATTTGCATATGCAAAAGATTCACTCAGGGAGCTTTAATTAAGGTCCCTGATAACTTCTCTGATTGCATTTTTCACAACTGCCAAGAAACAGTGAACTGCAGTGCGGATTTCTTTCCCCTGGTGGAAGAATATTTTTTATAGAATTCTGAATGATTCAATGATCATTAGTGAAACATCAGCAGATGACACATAGATGATTCCACAACTGATGCACTTTGTCTCCTTAGGCAACCTTGAATTATCCTAAGTTTTAGGAAAGCAACATCTATAACAGCTTGACTCTTCTTTGGAACTAAGCCGAGTATGAATTAATTTAATTTATTTTAATTATATTAGGTATTTCCCAATGAAGAAACATTCCCAGGCACCGTAAGTAAACTTGCAATTTAGGATCTCCTTTTGATATAGCCAATATTTTATGATAACTGTAAATGGAGTGTAACCTTTAAAAATCGTGAAACACTACATCGTAACTTATATAATATTGTACATCAACTATACCAAAATTAAAAAAAAGAAAAACCTTCCATCGAACAACATTTTCAAGGTGGTTGGCACATTGACATTTCCAAGGTTTGCACTGGTTCCTCTATTCCTGTGGAAAACAGCCATTTGCTCTGACTTCTGCACAATGGTTAATTAATAAAAAAATTAATCTACACATCAAAAGACCTTAATGGATCCACATCTCACACTGAAATATTCCCCCAGCTGAAGAGTTTACATGTTGCTTACTCTTTCAGTCATCACTTGTTTCAAATGAGTAATTAAAGGAAAAGCAAAATTCTCAGGACCCACATATTCAGTGGTATCTGTGTTTGTCTAATGTCAAGGATGTGCATATCCTTGCATCTTAGGAGATAATATTTTCATGCCAAATATCAATATACTTCAGTGGTAATCATATGAATGTCTATAATTTCAATTTTCTCTGTGTGTTCCCAGTCTAGTTAACTCAAATATAGAACCCCATATTAAACATTCTGAAACATTGTGTCCTCCAGCTTTATCAGTTGAAGAAGTTGTACTGAACTTCAAAATATAATGAAATAAGATGTTTTTAAAGGGGAATTCTTAGCACCACTTTTACAGAGCACTCTTGGTACAGGAATCAAAATTATTAGCAGTGCCTTTTTTTTTCTTGTTTTAAGAGACTTCTCATTTCTGGCTGATGGTTACGCCTCTAACTAGATTTCATGCTCCATGCTCAGAGAAAGAAAAGCACACACAGCTCTCCTAACATCCAAATAATAATCTCTTCACTGATCATCACAAAAGTCCAATCTCTATCCCAGAGCCTATTAAATTAACTGCAAAATCTTTGCTGGACTCGAGTTCTCACCAAAAAAGCCTGTCTGTGAGGACATTGTAGTCATTTAACCTCACTATTCTACAGGATGTTCCTACATTCCATAATGTACCTGAAAGGGTTAAAAAAAAGTCCTTTCCTGTGATCCTGTGAATTAATCATAATGACTGCTCTCGATGACAAAGAAGGTCCCACATGA